GGTGGTAGCCCAGTGGGGGGGGGGGGGGGGGGGGGGGAGGGAGGCGAGTTCAAAGAGGACCTTCTAAAAATACTACTCGTTTACCAAAAAGACACAGACCACTTCTCTGCTGTGCCCCAGACGGCTCCTCAAAAGGAGAAATCATCATGTCACCCACGCCTTGCTTCACCAGGCGAGGGCACTTCCCCAGGGCGGCTGAGGACCACGAGGGACTAGAAGGAGCTGTGACTTTGGAGCCAAGCCGTTGCTCAGATCCCAGATGACTAGCCTGTCTCTTTACCTGAGAAATGGGAATACAGATCACACGTGTATGTCCTAGACTGAATGGAATAAGGTCTATGCATCGTGTCATTTGCTGCCTGGCGCTCAGCAGGCACCTACGAATTCTAGTTATGCAGTGTTTTTATGGAGGGAGAGAGCCCGCTGCAGGCAGCCCGCTCCAGTGCGCTGGAGTCCAGGCATAGATGAGCTAGACAGGGCTAGGGCCTGTGGACTGGGCTCCTGCCTTCACGGGACTCCTGGCACATAGGATCTGCCCTGGGGACTCTCGGGGACTGAAGGGGACTCTGTGGTTTGAGCCATCTCTGTCCCCATTCCCCTCTAGAGTGGGATGTGGGGGAAAGAGTTCAATTAGGGGCCTTTGAAGCACTTCCTAAACATCCAGAGGCGTAGGGAACATGGCTGTGGGAATACGGGGAGGTGCCAAGCCAAGATGGAAGTAGATCTTGGCATGAATGGATTTGGGAGACTAGACTCTCGGAACTGAGTCCCAGCTCTGCAGCGTCCTGACACAATGGAATTCCTTTGCCCATGGGCCTCCTGCGGGCCTCCAAGGGCCCCTCTCTGCCTCTCAGTGGTCCCACAAGGGAAGCGTCGTTATCCTGATCCAGTAGTGTGAAACTGACAGGTACTCAGAGAGGTTAAGTCACTCGCTGAATGCCTCCCAGCCATGGTTCAAACTCAAGCTCTCCAACCAGGTGACCTCGGACAAGCCAGTTCACCGAAGTGTTTGAGTATCCTCGTTTATCAAATGGGCATTAATACTCCATCCTGCCTTCTCCCTAGAGCTCTTTGGGAGCTCAGAGGTAGGAGTGGGGGGTGGAGGCAGAAGCCCACAAGAGAAAGTGCATAGTGCAAGGCTGATCTTGGGGTTGCAGGAAGGGAGGTGCCAGGGTGTATGTTGAGGGTGTCTGAGAGTAGATGTCTTCTTGTCTGGGCTAAGCTAATGACACAGAGCTTGGATGACTTTTCTCCCAGGCAGCTTCTCAGCGGTAGTGATGGGGGACATTAGCAGACTTCCCAGGTGTCACTGCTGGCTGTGGGGCTTTCTTGTTCCTATGGGGGCTGTAGGGTCTCCTTATGTCAAAGGACACAAAGCTTGGCTTCACAGTGTTGTGGTGTAGGCAGAAATGAAAGAGAAAGGGTCCTTTGTCCACCTCACAGTCACAGAGGTTAGAAGTGAATTGATCATAATAAGGGTGACAGTAATGGTGGCTGTCACCCACATTGTGCTCAGCACACATGTGCCGGATACCGTCCTAAGCCAGAATTCAATAAGCACTTAATAAGGGCCAGTCACCTTTCTGAGGGCTTTATGAGAATTAACTCTCCTGACCCTTATGGGGTACCAATTATGATTCCCATTTTACAGATAAGGAAACTGAGGCTCCAAGAGGCAGATACAATGAACTTGCCCAGCTTGTAGTGAGTTGGCAGGTAGGAGTGGTTTTAGAGACAGGTCACTTGACTCCAGAGCTCACGCAAGTTGGCCTTTTATCTCTTCTGTCAATGTATTTCTCCGGTGTTTGCATTTGGTGATGCCATCCAAAGTTTGAAGCTGAGCCCGTCAATAACTGAGGCTGGGCTACACTTCTTCAGGCTCCTGCCTCCTGTACTCCCTGCCATCGCCCATCCGTGATAGAACTGGTCCCTATTCCTAGGTCTAGATATGATTGAGGTTGTTTGTTGAATGGAAACATTTTGATTGGCAGGAAAGAGCACTGGACTGAGAGTCTTGTTCTGGGGAGGAACAGGGGCAGGCTAGGCCGGAGACAGGCTATAGGGCCTTGGGCAAGTCATGTGCCTTCCCAGGGTCTCATTTCCTCTGTAGAGTGAAGGAGGTTGAACTTGAAGGTCCCTGGCAGACCTGTTACCCTGTGAAAAAACAGTTTGGGTAACTCGACCAAAGTCACCCAACTCATTCGTGAAATTTCTGGGGTCAGGCCAGAGCTGTTGTCACCTGGCGACACCACTGCCTGGATAAAGAGGCGGATTGCTACTATACATGCTGCTGATAAACAGCACAGATTGAAAAGGAGGTGGCAGGCAAGATTTAAGGAAGGGAGTTCTCTTCTTACCTACCCAGAGAGAACAGTAGATTTCTTGTGTGGCTCTCAGGCCAATGTTCTGGGAGAGGTGGAATTCTTCCCCCCCCCACCCCAAGGCTTGGCCTCACAACAAGAAAAGGGAGGTGGCTTCATCTTTCGGTTCTGCTTCCTCCAGTCATGGCTGGCTGGGCCTTTGAGATAAGTCTGCTATGTTTGGGTTCCTGCTGGGTTATGTTTGGGCTCCCACTCAACCCATTATCAACAGGCAGCCACAGCCAGGGCCACATGTTGGACTGGAAATTTCCTTCCCTGTGATATCCACGGTCTATATGGAGACCCTCTAGAGGCGATGAGCGTTGTTAATGAGTCAAATGAAAAGAAGCAGCTGGAAGGTGTGTTGGTGAGTTGTGTGTGTGTTTTCTCATGGTTCTACCCTCTGCTGTCCTTCCCACTTCCTTGTGACCCAGGCAGGGGCAATCAGAAGGCGCCTCTGGCCTTCAGGATCAACTCCCTTGCCACCTCTTCTAAGAAGAGGTGATTCCTTTGAGCGCATAGCTGCATTTCATGTACAGGAGGTTGAATGGTGGCCCCCAGAATATAGGTCCTCATCAAATCCCTAGAACCAACCGATGTGACCTTATTTGGAAAAAGAGTTTTTGCTGGTATAATTAAGTTAAGCCTCTTGAAATAAGATCATCCTGGATTATTGTAGATGACTTAGGTAGATTTAAGTAGGCCTTAAATCCAAGGACAGGTGTCCTTTTAAGAGTTAGACAGAAGATTTGAGACATAAAGAGAAGACAATGGGACCATTGAGGCAGAGATGACAATGATTCGGCCACAGGGTCACAAATAGAGGGATGCTAACAGTCTCCGGAAGCTTCAAGAGGCAAGGAAAGACCCTCCCGTAGAGACTTTGGAGGGACCATGACTCAGCCAACACCTTGATTTTGGACTTCTGGTCCCCAGAACTGTGAGAGACGAAGGCTCTGTTGTTTTAAGCTCCTCAAGTTTTATGGTGCTTCTTACAGCAGCTGTAGGCAAGGCTCCCTCCATGGAATCAGGGACTGCTAGGGAAGGGCCAGGAACCCCGGAGCCACACAGATGAGGTTTCAGAGTGAGGAGCCAGTAACAGCTGTGCCGATCCTGGAGGCTACTTGGCTCCTCTGAACAACGGAGATGATAATGCTTATCTCCCAGGGTCAGTGTTTTGTTTTGTTTTTATTGCTTTATTGGGAGATAATTCACATACCAGACAATTAACCCATTTAAAGTGCACAGTTCAGGGGCACCTGGGTGGCTCAGTCAGTTAAGCATCAAACTCTTGAGGTTGGCGCAGGTCTCATGGCTGTGAGATCAAGCCCTGCATCAGGCTCTGCACTGGGCGTGGAGCCTCCTCGAGATTCTCTCCCCCTCCCCCCACACTCACATGTGCTCTCTTTCTCTCTCAAAAAAAAAATCTAAAAAATAAAATGCACAACTCAGTGATTTTTTTGTATATTCGCACAGTTGTGCAACCATCCCCACAGTCAGCTGAAGAACATTTTTGGCATTCCCTCAAAAGAAACCCCAATCCTAGGGTTAGTTGCTCCCCAATGTTCTCCACAACTCTTCCCTGACCGTAGCCAACCACTAATCTACTTATCTGTAAAGATTTGTAATGTAATCTGTAATGTATTCTGTACATTTCAGATAAATGGGATTATGCAATATATTGGTCGATGTGTCTGGCTTCTTTCACTTAGTATAATGTTTTCAAGTTTCATTCACGTTGTAGCATGTATCAGTACCTTATTCTTTTTTTACGGCTGAATGGTATTTCATTGTATGGATTTATCATCTTTTGTTTATTCATTCATTGACTGATATTTCGGTTGTTTCTATGTTTTGGCTACTATGAGTTATGCATTTACGAACTTTCATATACAAGTTTTTATTGGACATGTCCAGAATATTTGGAAGATTGAGTGAAGTAATATCTGAGGCATCTGATACGCCCTTCACCAAATGAAGAATCTTAGAATCTGCTTTAACAGATTAGGAATTTTCAATTTACATATTAGGAAACTGAGGCACAGAGAGGCACTGAGACCTGCTCAAGTTCACCCAAGGCAGTAAAGCATCACACTTAATTGCACATCCTTGCATCAGACTGCCCAGAACAAGTTCCCAGTTCACCTTGGACATGGTCATGTTATGTAAGTCACTTCACCTCTCTGAGCCTCGGTTTATTCACGTGGAAAATGAGGATAGTAATAGCACCTGCCTCATATGGTTGTTGATGTGAGAATGAAATGTGCTAGCCCGTGTGTCTGGCATATAGTAGGTGGTCTACAAATCTGAACTGTTACCACTCACGGCAGTGCCATATGTGGAGCCCAAGTCTCCTGGCTCCCAGGTATAAGATGTCTCGAATCTAGATTTCTCCAGCTCCATTCCCTGTATCAGGGGCATCTTCCCAGAGAGACTGTAAGTTCCTTGGAGGAAGGAAATAGAGCTTCCTCTCTCCACTGCCCTGAGCGTGTAAGAGGTGACGAATGAGCCCTTTTGCTCACTTTCTTTGGCCCTCCCGAAGTCTGGCCTTCACTGAGTGACCCAGCTAGGAACTATGTTAGGTTAACCATCTACATTTTCCCAACACGCCATGCGATGGCTGAACATGTCTTCTTTCAGGCAGTGGGCAGTGTGCCACCATGGAGTTGGGGCCTCTGGAAGGCGGCTACCTGGAGCTTCTCAACAGCAGTGCTGACCCCTTGCAGCTATACCACCTCTATGACCAGACGGACCTGGCTAGAGAGGAGTTTGAGCTCTGCTCAGGTGAGCTTTCCTCCCTGGGGCCCCTCCCAAGTCCGTCCTCGCCCCCCTCAGCCTGCAGTGGAGACAGTTAGCCGCCAGGGGACGTTCCGGCTGCTGAGCTCTGGTCAGCACCACGGACAGCTCCAGAAGCGCGGGCTCGCTCCACGCTCCCAAAGGGGACCTCTCCCAGCCCCCCTCCGCCCCTCCTCCGTTCCGACCAGCCCTCTTCCCAGATCTTTCCGGCTTCATCCAAGGGACTTTTCCCTCCAGAACCCGACATGGACACCATCAACTGCGAGCAGTTCAGCAGACTGTTGTGTGACATAGAAGGTGATGAAGAGACCAGGGAGGCTTATGCCAATATCGGTGAGGAAGCGTTCTGAACCCAGACAAAGGCCAGTTGAGGGGAAGAGTTCCTTTTTCTCTTTTGTTACCCTCCATTCACCACGAGCCACAACAGGCCTGTCCTTCATAAATCAAGGCAAGGCGGATGCAGAGCGAGGGCTAAAAACAGAGACTCCAGGGAAGAAGGGAGATGGAGAATCATAAGGGAAATCGACCCCTTTGCTAGTAACTATCAGACAGTCCAAATCTCACTTTTACATCCTCTGCCTCCATTTCTATACCTTTTTAAATGTTTATTTATTTTGAGAGAGAGAGAGCAGGGAAAGGGCAGAGGAAGAGACAAAGAGAATCCCGAGCAGGCTCTGCACTGCCAGCACAGAGCCCAAGGCAGGGCTCAAACCCATAAACTGTGAGATTATGACCTGAGCCGAAACCAAAAGTCAGATGCTTAACCAACTGAGCCACCCAGGTGCCCCTCTATTCCTTTTTATATTTCTTGCTCTTCTTTCCTTCCTTCCACAGTCCATACCAGGCATTCCTCCTTTTCTCCCCAGTTCCTAAACCAAACCACTTGTTACATGGGGGTACCTGTTACATGCTGCTCACTGTGTGTGTTATTGCTTTGAATCCTTACAACAAAGGAAGTAGATACTATTAGTGCCTTCATTTTACAAATGAGGAAACTGAAATTTAGAGAGGCAAAGCAATGCACCCAAGGCTGCAGGAGAGATAGTAATGGGCAGGTGTGAGATTTGAACCTCGGTCTTTCTCATCATAAGATCTTTGTTTTTAACCACAAAAAGGAAAGTGTCTAGGGTGGGGAGGTTCTCTAAGGCTTAAGCTGAGAGGCTGATTTGCAGCTTTAAAAAGAGCTACAGCTTCCTGATAAGGGCAGAACTCTTTGGAGAGAGGGGTTGCTGTTGTTTCTGTGTTTTGTTTTTGTTCCGTTTTTGTTTTTTTGTCTTGTTTTGTTTTGTTTTGTTTTAGAGGGGAGTAGGGTAACGTCTCCCTCCTCACCAGAATCACTACCGTCTCATACAGAGGCTTTGTTGAATTAGAAAAAGATGCCCCTTCTTCTGGAGGATGCAGCCTCCACTTGTCCTCTCCTGGGCACCTATATGCAGTGAACAAGCTGCACAACTGTTCTTAACAGCCCTTTTCCTGGCAACCCAAGAACCACATCACTGAGGAGGTCTGTGCTCAGCATGAATGTGGCCGGCCTCCCCCCAGTGAACAGTTAATCCAGTAGCACGCAAAGCAGAAAATGGAGAGAATAGTAGCTGTGCGTGTCTCAAAAATTACAGAACTGGGAAATCTGCCCACTTCCTTTCCTTCCTGGGAACTTACTTGAGGAAGCAGAAGTGTTGGGTGATGAGGGCATTCGTATTTCTTCACAACTGGAGGCAGTGATGAAGGATTTGAGCATTCTTTAAGATTTTGGGGCTTTTTCGCTTGGGAGCATCTACCCAGGAAGTTGAAGTGGCCAAAGCCAGTGGAAGCGGAAGGTTCACTCAAGCCTGTTCCTCAAGTCTGTGGGCTTTCTCTGTGCTTCTAGAAGGCCATGGCCTGCCCTGAGCATGCAGTCATTTAAGGCATCTTGGAATATGCCTGGAAGATGGCTTCCCTGTGTGCATAATGGGTAGAATAATCACATCTGCCTCATGGGATGGCTGAGGATTGGATGAGTCTCTTTGTGTCAGGTGTTTAAGAAAGGATTTTACAAAGAGGAAGTTAGGTACTCCCCACCACTGCCACCATCATCACCACCACTGTCATCATGGCCATTGCTGCTCTGATGCTGTTCCTCAGCTCAGAAGTCTTTTGTGGCTCTCCGTTGCTGATAAAATCAAGCTCCAACTTTCCCCAGCATGAGTCACCCATCTCTGAGTGTCCCAAACGCCTTCTCTCACTCCATCCCCACTCTCTGAAGCCCTCCGCTTTCCACCCCTCTGACTCTGCGCATCTTTCAAAGCTTGGATGCGGGAGCACTTCCTTCAGGAGCCCTCCCAGATTGACCCATGCCACTATACACCGTCTTTCTTCTGACCTCTCACCGTGATAACTGTCTCCCTATTGGCTCTAGGTCACGTACCCCTTCAATTCATTAATCACCATTTATTGAGTGCCTATGGTATGCTGGCTACCCGTGTTTATGCTTTAACTTGGAGGTACAGCCTCTAATCCCTGGGTTGAAGGCAGTATGTATTCTCATTACACAGATGAGGAAATGGAGTCCCAGAGAGGTTAAGTCATTGGTCGAAGTTTGCACAGCTAATAGGGCTATGGGAGATGGAGTTGAACTTAAAGCCCATGACAAATCTCCTATACTGCATTGTACTACTTTACAGCAATAGTTAAGTTTTCATGGGTGCATATCATCCCTCCGATTAGATTCCGAGCCCTGAAGGTTCAGTGTTCCTTCACTCATGTGATCATTCATTCAGCAAACACGGGTTGAGCTCCCTGTGTGCGCCCGGCCTGGAGGGTCACCGTTTCTTGGTGCCTGTCCCAAGGTCTGACAACACAAGGCACTGAGAGAACTCACTGACTGACTGCCCTTTTCCTGTCTTGGCAGCGGAACTGGATCAGTATGTGTTCCAGGACTCACAACGGGACGGCCTGAGCAAAGACATGTTCGGTAAGTTGGGGGATTCCCGGTTCAGCCTGCATTTCCTTCCTCCTCGGTCCTTGGGGGACATCGCAACACCTGACGGTCACCTCTTGAAGGGTGGTCAGATCCCACCCCAATATAGGGGCAATGAAGGAAGGCTCACTGTGGACATCTACTGACTGTATGTTGGTGTTCTGGGTTTTTCTCCAAAGTCGAGCATATAGGATTGGAAGAAATCATCAGCGAGAGTGTGGAGGCGCTGGAGGAGAAGACAAGTCAGAAAAGACGTGAGTAAGCCCCTCTCTGATCTGCCCTCAGCTTGCCTGCCCCTGGCCCTGCCTTAGCTCCAGAGCCTGCTGTGGCTCCCGGTTGCTGCCCTTGTTAAGTCCTGTGTGCTCTGCTGATTTTGGATGTTCCACACACAGCTCCCCTCATTGCTCCTTCCTGGTGACCCAGGGAGGAGGCAGACAGGCCAGGTGCTAAAGGCCATTCTCCAGGCGTGTCTCTGTCCCCAGCTATTTTGATTGCCATTTCCCAAAGGAGCTTTGAGCCTGGCTTGTCTTCCATCCTTAGTTGTCACCCTGTGTTTGAGGGAGGTGTCTTCAAATTTTCTGGAGTCAGCAAGAACTGGGTTTGAATCCTCAGTCTGCTGTTTATGGTCTGGGTGGCCTTGAACAAGTGCCTGCACCTCTCTGAGCCTCCTACTCAGTCTCCGGGCCTCCTTAACGTGCCCTCACCTGGCCGTCAACGTGGGTTTTTCAATGCAAATCAGATCATCTTGCTGTCTGCTAACCCTCCAATGGCTACACAATACATACACAAAGCCTATATAGTCTGGCCCTCCCACTTCTCCAAACTTCCCATGAGCCAGTACACTCCAGCCACACTGGCTTCCTTCCATTCCATAACGCACATACCCTTCCCGGCCTCAGGGCCTTTGAACTTGCTGTTCTATCTGGAATGCCCTTTCCCGAGATTCTTCCCATAGCAGGCTCCTTTGCATTCTTTAGGTCTCAGCTAACCTGTCACCTCCTCCTGGAGGCCCTCCTTGACCATTCTTCCACATAGATTACCTCACTCATTTTTTTACTTTGTGTCTCTCCAGCCCCTTAGTGCTTGCCACTATCTGGACTAATTTTATTTATTGCCTTTTGACTAGTTTCCTGCTGTAAGGACAGCGATCTTGTCTTCCTTACTCATTACTGCATCCCAAGAATCTAACATGGTGCCTGCTGTAGCCCGTCAATAAATGTCCACTGAATGCAAATATCTGTAAAGTGGGCATAACAGTTGATTACTTCCAATGTTCTAGACCATCTTTTGGACTTGTACCTATTTATTTTTGAACAGGTAGAGCAGGTGCATGCTATAAAAAGGCTATAAAAATTCAGAAGGTGCAAAGAATATTCAGTGAAAACAAATCTCCCTCCCACCCCTGTCCCCCAGCCCCTCAGTTTCCCTGCCTGAAACAAATATTTCCCCCAGCATTTTATTATGATCTTTTTCAACATACAGTAAAGGTGAAAGAAGCGTATGGCCCACAAGCACAGGCGTGCCATGAACATTCTACAGTTGATGTTTGGCTCTATTTCTCTTAACACATCTCTATCCATCTGTCCATCCTTTATCCACCCACTCATCCATTCATTTTATTCTGGGAGCATTTCAGAGTAAATTGCAGACACCAGTTTACTTCCCCATATGTCAGATAGCTTTCTTGTTCTTTTTTAGGGCTGCGTGGAATTTCACCGGGTGGGCAAACAATTTGTTTAATCAGCCCCTTGCTGAGGGACACACAGGGTTTTTCTCCCTGGGTGTGCTGGTACTTGATGCTTAACTCGCCCATTTCTAACATACTCCTGCAAAGTAGGGGTCCCCGCCCCCGTTTCACAGATGAGTGAGCAAAGGCTCACAGAGGCCACGTTTCAAAGACGTACAGCTAGGAAGGGACCCAAAGCAGCTGGTTTCTTGTTCTAAACTCACTCTCATCTTGTGTCCCATCTGTGGTTCGGTCTCTTCCAGTGCCTCACTTCCCTGGGCGCTTCAAGCTGGGGTTGGAGCGGGGGCCTGTGTGGCTCAGTCGACTGAGCATCTGACTCTTGATTTCGGCTCAGGTCATGATCCCAGAGTCATGGGATCGAGCTCTTTGTCGGGCTCTGTGTCGGGCATGGAGCCTGCTTGAGATTCTCCTTCTCTCTCTCTCTCTCTCTCTCTCTCTAAATGAAAGGTGGGGTTTGGACAAGGCCCTCTGGGCTGCTGGGGTTCACGAGCCCCTCAGCACTTGGACCATGCCTTCCTTGGGGCAGTTGACCATGATGTTCTCTCTGCAGCCTTCCCAGAGGAACTGCCTGTGGACTCGAAGCACAGGAAGCTAGGTGAGCAGCATAGGGGTGGGGCAGGGGTGGGGGTCGGGGTAAGGGTGGGGGCCCCAGGGAGATTTTGAGGCAGGAAAGTCAGGGCCTCTTCAGGTGCATGCAGAAGCTGGCAGTTGAAAGCCGAGGCTCAGAGAGGTGAAGTCACTTGTCCAAGACCACACAGCTAGTGAGAGGCAGGGTTGGGATTCAAACCAAGATCATGATTCCATAGCCCCTGCTCTGCCGTTTCAGGGCTGCTGGGAGATTCAGCTTCTCCTATAAAGCCTCTCCCCCAACACCCCTTCTTCTTAATTCTGAGTCAGAGCTGAGACCCTGCCCCCTGCCTTGCTCCACTGCCCCTTCAGGCCACACTTGTCTTTTTAGAGTAGAGTCACCTATGGTCAGCTGGTCGCCCAGTGCCCTGTGGCCCTCCTGAGAGCCCTGGTGAGCCTCTCCCCCAGGCTCACGCCTTCTCCCACCAGATGCTGCCTCCTCTTCCTCCACCTCCCCTCTCCTCCCACCCAGTTGTTATTGCAGAGGTGGGGAGACCAGCCCCTGAGTGGGGACAGAGTGAGCAAACAGCTCATCGTCCAACGGAGAAAGCCTGTCCCCTGCCTTCAGAAAGTTCTAATTCTGATAAGGGAGACGGAGACCCTGCCCAGGAGGAGTCCAGAGTGATGGAGAAGTGATCCCTGTCCTCAGAAATCTCCCAGTCTGATGGCAGAGACGGGGCTCCTACTTTCCAAGGCCCCCAATCTGACGGGGGAGACAGGAGCTCTGTCTATGAAGACCCCAGGATGAACGGGAAGTAGTCCCTGTGTTCCGAGAGCTCCCAGTCTGCTGGGGACAAGGGGGCGTGGGGCAGTCCCTGCCTTCTTGAGGGGTGTGCTTGATGCCTCCTCGGGTCCCCAGGGGCTTCAGTGACCGGCTGTGGAAGGTGGTTGTGTTCGTAGGCTCTGTCCTGCCTGTGGCTCTCCATGTTAGGAGGCTCTCGGGACCCAGCCACAGGGAGAAGGCTGGGAGGCGAGGGGTGCTGGGCACAGCGCGGTTGCCGACACACCAGCTTCACCCGGGGCTGGGAAGAGGACGGGAGCTTTCTCCAACGGCCAGGAGAGAGATCTCCTCTGCCTCTGCTGTCGTCCCCAGGAGGGCCCCTGCGGACACCCACGCAGATGCCACGCAGTCTCTAACAGGGTCCCCTTCCTCACAGCTGAGCCCCTCGCTGTGCCCGTGGTGACCGGCACTTTCCTGGTGGGCTCAGTGAGCGGCTCCTCTCCTCGGTCCTGCCTGTCACCGCCTGCTGTGTTCAACAAGGAGCCAGCATCCAGCCCGAACTGGCTGGGAGAAAACGTCCTGATGTCTGGTACGTTAGGGACTCGGAGGGGGCAGGCTTCCCCCGTCCCTGGGGGTGTCTGAAGAGTGGCTAAGGCAGGGGCCACCAGGGACGGGACTCCCCACCGCAGCAGTGGCTCCGGCTTCCATCGCAGCCAGTCCCATCCTCAGGGTCCCCGTCAGCTCAGCCCGTGCTGGAGAAAGTGCCCTGGAGGGAAACGCAGCCCTGGGAGCCATAGCAGGACTCCCCGCCAATTAGGGCATTCACCCCCCGGCCCTGCACAGGGCTGCGCATTGGCTGTGTCTTCGTTAGCTGTGAACCGAGTGCCTACTCTGTGCCCAGCCACTCTGCCAGGTGCCCAGGACACCATCGTGGGCAAGACAGACACAACTGCCACTCTGAGGGAGGTTGGAGCCCTTTAAGAAAGGGAGTCCAACGGTAATCAAATAAATAAACACAAAACGGGTGCTGTAGAGGACCCTGTCTCTTGCAGTGCCCCCCTCCAGTCCCTTGCTGAGCTGCCTGAGTCTTCCTGCCGGACACATCCAGATCGTCCCCACCCTGCCCCAGGGGCTCTGGCAAATCTCAGGGGCTGGGACAGGGGTGTCTGGTATGGTCATCTATCAAGGTGAGTGTTCAACACCTGCCCACCCCCCCCCCCCGCCGGCTACCTGACTACTCCCTGACCCCGTCCTCTCCAAACCCCAGGCATTTGGCAGCTGTAGGCTAGCACCTTCTCGTGACCGCCCCCCCAGAGCACCCTTCTCTGACCCCGTGTCCCACAGCTCAGAGAAGAGCAGGTTTCCCCAAAGCGGTCTGGGGGAGCGACCCACTCAGTGCCTCTAGCTTTCCAAGTGTCATTTCCCCCACTAAGTCTGAGTTTGGCTGTTTTTTTTTTTTTTCTTTTTCTTTTTAAATTAATGTTTACTTATTTTGAGAGTGAGAGAGCACGAGCAGGGGAAGGGCAGAGAGAGAGAAGGAAAGAGGGAATCCCAAGCAGGCTTCTTGCTGTCGGCACAGAGCCCAATGTGGGGCTCGAACTCACAGAACCGTGAGACCATGACCTGAGCTGAAACCAAGAGTCAGATGCTTAACCGACTGAACCATGTGGGCACCCCGGCTTTTTTCTTTTTATTAAGCTTTATTATATATTTTTAAAAAATTTTTTAACGTTTTATTTATTTCTAGGAGAGAGAGAGAGAGACAACATGAGCAGGGGAGGGTCAGAGAGAGAGAGGGAGCCACAGACTGAAACAGGCTCCAGGCTCCGAGCTGGCAGTCAGCACAGAGCCCGACGCGGGGCTCGAACCCACGAACCGCGAGATCATGACCTAAGCGAAAGTCGGACGCTTAACCGAATAAGCCACCCAGGCGCCCCAAGCTTTATTATATTTTATTTTTATTTTATTTTT